ACATAGGGATTGGAGGGAACAGCTAGTAAATAAATTTCTTATCGTTTTTTAAGAGTAAATGATGGGCATCCCACAGTAATTGAACTGGCTATCCTTTGATTTTAAAGGCTAGAGCTTGTTACACTAGAGCAGTAGACTAGTGCTTGCATGAATTGGTTATTTAAATTATTTTGTAATGTTGGCACTAATAAGTGGTACTATTTTCTTTATCGCAGTAATTTGTCGGCATTTGGTTTTTAAATCTTGGAATCTGTTTTCGTAATCACTCGACAAAAGTTAGCCAACAACTTTCAAGTTTTTTTTAACAAAAAACCCTCTTTCAACCATGATGTTTACTGATTTCACCCATCAGCAGCAGACTTTGGCAACGTTTTCCATTAAGAAATCCTCCCACATTGCCACATTTGGACGCTGATCTGGCCCTCCTGCAGACGCGATGGTCTTTGTACAACTTTGGCCTTAATGAATGACTAACTTTGTCTTACCATATGTTCTGTGTTTGTTTTATTTTTATATTTAAACATGAAATGATTTAAGTTTGGCTGAACGAAGCGAAAGAGAACATAACTTCATTTTTATAAAAATTGGCTATACGCGACATGGGATCAAGCATAAAGCTCTCACGAACACCAAGCTAACGCCGTACGACTAGGATAACTTGAATATTCTTTGTTTAGTGCGGGATTGATCGAGTATCCTTGTAAAGGTAAATTCATTTGTGCTTTCTAATTTCTTCCCCCAGGGCAGCTAAGATATTTTCTTCAGATTTTAAATTTTTCTTTTGTTACCTAGTCGTTCTCAAATATTTGAGAGTAAAAATAAATGAAGAGGACGTAATGAAATAATAAAAAAGGTTAAAAACCTGAAATATACGGACAGAAAGCTAAGATGAGCTTCTGGATACAAGACGTTGATTAGTAAAGTGAGAAAGGTAATATTTTTATTACCTTTCCTTAAGCTTGAAACTTTGTTGGTACATGTATCTGATCTTGATCCATTTCTTAAAAGAGGAGTTTCATCATATTCCTCTGTTTCTTCTATGAGACTTGCATTAGCATTGGTTGTCCCGCAAATCTGAATAGTGATGACATGAAACAATAAAGAAATAAAACCATCCACAAGATTTGTTTTCTAAACAATAGATATCAAAACATATAATTTAATGTGAAAATATTATTCACGATTCAAGTAGTAACCAATCTTTAACAATATTGTATCATTGAGCTGGTTTAGCATGTTCAGAACGGATAGTTTATGGGTGGTACCTTAGATTACATTGTAGTATGACTTATCTGAATCAGCCCGGCCTTCAGGGTTTTGCTATCTACAGCTATACTATGACAATATAACATATAAATTGACTTCCCATCCGAATACCTACTAAAATTCTTCGAGAGGATAAAAACTGTTTTGAGGTTGCTTAGAGTAAACATTCTTCAAGAGCATTGATGTAATTGACCAACTTAACAAGATATGCAGCAATGTGCAAATACAAGATAAAGGACAAGTCCTTAGTCTTTTTGCAATTCAAACTCTAGACTTTCCTGATGCCCTTGAGAAAACTCTGAAACCCAACTTTTATATCTGAACAAGATTTTTTTTAATGTAGCTTACCTCTTCATATTCCATGATAATGATTATCCCCAGTACCTGTAATGAATATTTTAAGTTTAGACTGAGAAATGCATAATAAATAAATAGATTATTTCTAAATTAGCTCTCTTTAGAATAGCATATCGCTGTATTTAATTCTGATCATTTTATAATGACGTCAAAAAAATAAGAAACTTTAAGAAAAGTTTGGTTACAGGGTTCATTTTTAAAAGATATTTGGTTTTAACTTTAATTCAATGTCACATTATTACCAAATTTCAGGAATTTTTTTAAAAGGATAAATGCAACAAATTAAACTAAAGATTAAATACGATTACATTCTGTACATTGCAAGATTATTGAAAACATTATATACGGTGAAAATGGGGTCAAGGAGCAAATCTACAATTAATATAATTGTACTCGCATACCCTTTAATATAATAATTGCCCAATATCTCTATTGTTTGTTCGATTGTGTTCTTTCGTTAATTGTCCCGTTTTAGATCTACCGTATGCAGTATATCGAAGCTACCAACTGGAAGTTGAAAGCTGCAAATTAAGACCTACAATATATACATGACACTCAAGGCCATTGAGGAATGAGGGGTCTTTTTCAGGCCTACATCTCCTGTGAAAATTTCGGATTTTATGATCTCATCCGAAGAATCAGTCTCCAAGTTCCACGGTGGAACCAGTGGGGCAATGATCAACTCCTTACAAAGTAAACAAAATAAAATTTCTAACTACGGAATGCGACTTTCAGTATCTTTCAACATGCAAACATATTGTAAACCAACTATTTTTTTGCGTCATCTTTTATACGCGATTTGTTAGTTTGAAATCACATGTACAGTAGTTATAAAACGACGACAGTAGTGATTATATGATTAAAAAAACAAGTATTATTCGATCTAACAAAACCCAACAACACAAAATATATATTTTGTTAAGATATCACAAAATTGTATTTTTCTTCAAGATAATATGATTGAATGAATAAGATTGGTGGTAATGATAGTGACAGTGATCTAAGAAAATTTCAAATAATACCGTACACATTTATGAACAGAGCATTAACAGGTTGGATCGAGTGCCTAAGAAGAGTGAACATCCCTGTGTTGACATGTCTCATCGTATTAAATATTTTTCTACTTTTCTATTTTTCTAAACATTTTTTGAATGACTCTCATTAATCTCAATACAGCGAGTTTATTCAAAATACGAGTACATCAATAAGTATAGTTTCAAATAATTTAAAAAATAAAATCCATTGCAATCACTAGTTTAGTTTTTTATTTTTCTCATTGAATCGAAGCAGAGAAATCAAGTTAACTGAATCTTCTCTAAAACATAATAATATGAAAAGTCTCTTTTTGTATTTCTTAAATATATAAATACTTACCTTTTGAAAAAAAGAGCAAGAGCAAATAAGATGTACTTATTGTATAAAAGGCAATGAAAAGAAGAGTTAAGTAATGCCCTGTCAAACGCAACAATGCATTACAACATTCTTTCTGAAATTCAAAGTACCAAGGCAAAGACAAAAGCCAAATAAGACCTAGTTTTTGAGACAAAATAGATAAGCTAATCTTGAGTGCACAATTTTATCTTTTGTCATGTTATCAAATCTCAACCATTTTGTTCATATGATGATAAAAGTTGTTGAAACCAATTTTTTAGTTCTATTGGTAAGAGACCAGAAGAGCTCATGCGATAGTAAGGTGGTTGTCGTTCGTCTGTCTGTCTGTTTAGCTGTCTCTATGTCCGTCTGTCTGTAAACAATTGTTCAAAATGCTACTCCTCCTACAGTTTTGGTCTGAACTTCTTTGTTTAAATTGGTAAAAATGTTGATATACACTTTTAACACACTTTGAAAAACATTTTCAAAGTGCGTTGATTTTGTCCCAATTTTAATGCACTTTGAAGAAAAAAAATCAAAGTGCGTTATTTGTAAGTGCGTTGCTACAGAACTTTCGACATGGAATGATTACCCCTCGATGGAACTTAATTCCAATTCTAATGTCCTATTTGTTCGTATTTGCTCTGCTCTTGATTTGTATTGTTAGATCACCCAAATAAAGCCCTCCTTGCATATTTTTCAGGATGCGCTCTCCTTCAAAGTTTGATTTTGGGGGCAAATATTGACCATTGCCGCATATAGTCCTTCATTGTCATTTTGAATATTTTAATATGTGTAGAAGTGAGTTTTACTTATAAATTAAAAAAAATTTATTTTCACGATAGAAAAGAGTTAAGATTGAATTAAAAAAAAAGTCAGCTTTTCGGTTCATCCATGTTTAATAAATTAATATGCATATGTTCATCTTTCACATAATTCATGAAGCATAATTAATGCATGCATTTACAGTGTAAATATATCTCCTTAATCATAAAATTCTTTCTATGCAATTACGTACATTTAATCTTACTTTTATCACCAATGTATATAAGATTCACAAAGAAATAAATATTTAAATAAATTTGAAATATTTTAATTACTTATTACGACTGAGATTTCTTCAGATTTAAACATGATTTGGAAACTAAATATTACCAGTGGAATCGGGTGACAATATATATTTGTGTTCAGTTAAAGGAACATTATAAAAATGCATTATGAAATTTTTAACTTCTGTCCTTCACAACTGTTTGTTCATCATCTATTTCTGTTTGGCTGTCACACTGGGTGCTTATGTCCCTAGTGCACGTGTTTCCCCCTTGTCTCCATTTCAAAGAAATACATCGCTGCTTTAAATCGGTAAAATATGACAAGCGGGAAAACAATCTTATTGAATATATTCCACCATATGTCGTTGTAAATTTTTTGTTGTTGAATATGTACAAGGAGGATATCTTTCTTGTGCTAAGGAATCAACCATCCAAAATGCTAAGTTATCGATGGCAAGCAGGAAAAACATAACGCCCAAGTGCTGCCGGTAGATTTCTTTGTTCTCACTATTATGAAGTACAACCAAATACGTCGTTTGAAGGAAAGTGTTTAGCATTACAAGAATTGCATTAGCTCCTCCAACGTTTTGTCCAATTGAAAAAGGACCAAAACAACAAAAGAAATTAAATGAAACGTTTGCAAAGGCGCAAATGGAGAAGACGATTGTATCCAAATGCATGTTTGCATGCCATAACCAAGGGTAAGCTGCAATAATAATTATCAAAAAGAACAAAAATTGCAATATTTCAAAACCAAATTCAACATTGCAATAAACCATGTGTAAGATTATATTCAATTCACCAGGTTTGGGTTTAACAATCACGACAATTATTGCAAATAAGACAAATAGAAAAATGAGGAAACAAAAAACTCCTTTAACTATAAATTTGACTTGCTGTTTATTTTTTAATTTTATTAAAATAAGCTGGACATAATTTCTGTTTGTCGCTACTTCATTTGAGTGAATTTGTCCCATGAGGGTATGGGAGTTGCCGCGTTTTGAATGAGAAGAGTCCAATTTTGATGTCAGTAATTCTAAAGCCATGAGAAAATATTCGATCTTTAATGGTGTTGAGAAAGGATCAATTGCATCTGAAATATCGTCATAAAGATTTTTTGGTTCGGAATTTACGGTAAGTGTTTGAACTAGAATTGCTAGATATATGGAAAATATTGTAAATTTCTTCTGTTTCTGTATCCAGCCAAATGCATAGATTTACCGCCATTAAGATAGTGAACGCAACATTGGTCAGTTTATGTATTTTAATACAATGGGAGTCAATTGAACATAGGTAAAACGTTTGAATACTAGTAGTCGAAAAAGTACAACACAAAATAATGTATTGTAGCGGGCAGGAGTTTTTACTATTGAATGCATCAGCTACAAAAGATGCTATTGCAAAAAAGCCCAGAACAAGAAAAAATAGTTTTTGCACAGAGAAAATGACATTTCCCTCACAGCCAGTTTTTACGTAGGTGGTAATAACCAAAACAAGATAGCACAAGTTTCCAGCGGCAGCAATGGTGGTTAGAATTAGACAAAGAGGGTTTATGTATTCAGTATCGCCATTTACTTCTTTCGATAAATCAGATAGAAATCGTAGATATAGTATCGTACTGGAGATAAGACCAAAGGAAAACAATGTCATCAAATATACACAGCATTTGACTTCACTTTTGTTGTCACCAGCTGTGCGGAAAAAACCCAAATAAAAGTAAACAATTCAACTACATGTAATTCTAAAATTAAATTAAATGATTTGTTATATATTAAATAGTTTTTGTTTGTTCAAAAATAAATGTAATTATGTGTAAAACTAAATAATTTAATTCTGGTTGTAACGCTGTATTTGATTAGATAAAAAATTTACTTCATATCGTATAAAATGGGTTGCCTACGTCACAATGACTTTCGTCAGAAACGTATCAATCCGCCTGACGTTACATTCAAATTTTGTACAAATTGAAGTCATTTTGTTAGAACAATCATCTTTTTTTCTTACATCAAATGAATGAAAATTAAATAATAAGCAATGAATTTAATAGCTACCCATTTTATACGGTATAAACTGGATTGGAACAGTTTACGCTTTTTCATAAACAGGTTCGCGGTTTATAAAGCAAAAACTGCCCCAACCCAGTTTATACCGTATAAAATGGGTAGCTATTAAATTCATTCCTTAAATAAAAAGCATTATATCATAAAAATGTTTTAATTTTTAGTTCTATCACATATAAATTGTATTCGAATGACATTTTTATGCATCGACGTCTTACATTTCATTATCTTGTGACTCTCGATCTCTCGAAGTTCAAGGGACCGCGAGAAAAGTTCGAGAGATCGAGGGGTTCGAGAAATAAAAAGTAAATAAAATCCGGAATTTTCAGTTCCGATCGTCGAAGTTCTACTTTTAAAGATACCGGAAGTATATGTAAATAATGTCATTTGCACGTTTTCAATCGTATTTTACAGGTAATTTACTAGATATCAACAACAATGATTGTATTTCGAATAAATAAAACGAATTCCTAAAGATTCAATATTTATTTGTTCCTAATTTCATGATTACATGAAACCCGAATAGCAATTGTAGGTTTGGCTATTCCGTGGCTTGATCGGGCCCTTCACAAGTTTCTTAATTGGTATTCTGTCCTTGAGAAAAGACTTTCTTGTGTAATATTTCCCATACTGGGATTATGTAGACTCTATATAATCATAATGAAAGTTCATAGTCTATGGGAACTTACTGAAACGAACATCCATAAATTAATTTCAAAAAATTATCGTCTCGGTTTCAAATCAAAATAAGTTGTGAATTTTTTCTAATTACCCTGTGAAAAATAGCCAATTAATTATAACAACACACGGACGACCCACAGGTGTAGTGTCATCTATGTAAACACCCAATTAACACCTACATGCCAGCCCATGGCCTTCACGGTTTCCAGGTAAGTCCAGACTGAAACAATTTTACGCTTGATTGGCGTGTATACACGCGCAAACAAACTTCGAGAGATAGAGAGTAAAATTCAATGAAATATGTGTAACGGGACCAAGGTTTTGGTTCGAGAGATAGAGAACTTCGAGAGATAGAAGTTCGAGAGATCAGGAGTAAATTTGCTTAGTTATATAGAGGAAAAAACGGGACCGGGGGTTCACTTCGAGAGATAGAGAACTTCGAGAGATCGGAGTTCGAGCCATCGAGAGTCACCTAGTGTTTTTGTTTAATTGTACTATCATAAGTGAAATGAATCAAATGGATTTACGTGTTCTCTATTCATAAATTTAATATTCCTATCCAACTTGAGAGAGAGAGAGAGAGAGAGAGAGAGAGAGAGAGAGAGAGAGAGGGGATTACCTGTAGCAGTTAATTCTGTTTCCTCAGATTGTGTCTCTGGTTCGGGAATAAGATTTGAACTATCACAAACGTCTACTATATTCTCGTCAAAATTCATGTCAAAATTTCTTTCTGTTTCTTGTTATTGTAATCTGCAAATAGGATGTCTTGTGTTTTATTACAGATATGTATTATTTGTCTTCTTTTCGTAAAATAAACAAAATATTACATAATATGCATATTTATACACGTCTGCGTGGTGCAGTGGTTAGAGAGTCTGCTCTAGAGTCTCGGAGTAAGGAGTTGATCCTTAAGTCGCGGGTTCGAATCCCACTGTGAGACGTGGAGACCAGTCCTTCGGGTGCTGGCACTAGAAAGATCCCTCACTGCTCAATGGCAATGAGCGCCAAGTGTAGGACAAAATTTGTAGTTCTTCACCGGCAAGGTAAGTGTTTGCGTCTCCATATGAGTAGAAAAAGGGACGTTAAACAACAAACAAACATATTTATACACGTGAACAAGTTATTCTGATGGCTCGAACATAGATCGATAAAGATTCTTTATCTCTCAAAATGATACACTTCTGGTCCCTGTTCTCTGGCATTATTTTTTTTTTTAAATTTAGTCAATTTGTTTTATTGTCCCCCGCTTGAAAAGTGGGGGATATTAATTTGGGTTTGTCCGTCCGTCCGTCCGTCCATCCGTCCGTCCGTCTTTCTGTCTGTCTGTAACGCTTTCGTTTCCACACGATATCTCGAGAACCCTTTGAGCTTTTGCAATGAAATTTAGCATAGCAACTCCCTATGGACTAAAGAAGACCCCTATTGATTTTGAGGTCAAAAGGTCAAAGGTCAAGGTCATAAATAAGCAAATTCTGTATGTTAAAACACTTTCGTTTCCACACGATATCTCTAGAACCATTTGAGCTATTGCAATGAAATTTTATACAACAACTCCCTGTGGCCTAAGGAAGACCCCTATTGATTTTGAGGTCAAAAGGTTAAAGTTCAAGGTCGTAAATTTATACATTCTGTCTGTGTGTAATACTATCATTTCTGGGCGATATTTCAAGAAGATTTTGAGCTTATGCAATGTAATTTTATACCAAAACTCCCTAGGACGTCTCTCGCCCCTCTCAAAGTGCCCCGCCCCGTTGTTTTATTAGTATTTATAGTATTACATGTCGCTATTTTTAGCGCAGGGGCATGAGGAGAGTTATTGCGTATAAAACAGGTTCTCGGCGGACTTTATGTTCTTATTACATCTATTAGAACTGTTTAATACAGGCTAAATAAATCAAACACCATGGATTGTGTAAAATTTTGAGAATACCGAACATGAAAACATGAATATATACATATATGTGACTTCAGTTCTGCATATACTTCACACAGTGTAAAGCGATTCCGTGGTCCAGTGGTCATGTCTCTCGCTTCAAATGAGAGAGGTCCCGGGATCGAATCTCGGTGTATCCTTTCTTTGTCTTTTTTTTTTTCAAATACTTTTATTAATTAAATGATAGTATGCAGCATGTGAAATGAAAAATTTATGAGGTTATAAAATCATTATTACAGTGTGATAAATATTCCATATAAAAAGAATCTGCTATACACGTAATAAAGAATAAGCAATCAAATCTTTATATGCATATTGACATACATGTATTTTATTTGCTTCAGTATACATGTATACATATAATAATTCTACAAATTTAATTATTTACAACTTAAGTCAGGGGGATCTGACACCCCCCTCCACGAACTGCGCATGGTTTACTTTTTCCCTAAGCGGGGGACACAAATTCTCTGAATTAGCTTGTCTTGCTAAAGAATGAAACATTTAATAACTTACTTACGAAATTACTTTTTCCTTTTCAAAAGAAAACATATATCACACATTATTCGTATACATTAAACATGTTAAATGGGTTTGGACACATTTCAATAAAAATGTGAAATTAGAAGGTAGCCACTTGATTTTATAGGAACGAATATTATATTACACCGTCACATGAAATGGGTGTCATGGTAAAAAATTCCCAAACTGGTATTTTGATTTCACAATATATTTCCTGGTTGAAATCATCTGTATTGTATCTCTATCATATGATATTCATCATAAGATGTTATGCATGTATTAGCATGTATTAAGAAGTTTAATTTATATGAATCTTCCTGATAGAAACTTCATCTTTGATTTTACTGCATTTCTTTTTTTAGATAAATAGTTTATGTATAGTTTTTTGAAGTTTAAATAATACTTACCTGGTATGTTCACTGTAGAATCTCTTTCGAAAGTAATGACTTGTTTTGAACTCCGTTTCCATGGAATGGATTTTGAAATCTTGAACAAATGATACATTACATATTGCAGATGTTAATTATGATTTCTAGCATTACGATAGTATAGCGAGAAATAGTTGTACTAACGATATGTCAACGAATTATTGTACCTGGGTAGAAGTTGCGTATTGTACATAGTAATATTGTATACTTGGTAACAGCCAGCGAAACAAGAGTTTTGGGAATGACGTGTTTGAATAGTTTCCTCATGATCTGAGTTAGTTTCTAGCGCACGCTCTGCGCGAGCAAGTCAATGTTTAACGCATTATCATAATTTTTTCCTCAAAATTTTACATAGGCTTACATAAGCATAGGCTTTGTAAGAATGAGCCCACCATTCATTTTGTTTACCTCGCAATTGCTACAGAATTGTAGGTCTCCTTTGATTTTTTAAGCAAAAATTTGGTTTTATCAATGGTTTTTCTGGGCGGCGAGGAAAGAATAGTTACATATATGTTTACATAATACTATACTGATATGAGAGGATTAAATCTAAGTGTCCTCTAACAGTGCGCTTTAATGCTTATATGGTTGTTGTGTTTTTGATGAGTGAAATACAGTGTGAATTATTGTTAAAACAAAATAATAAAATGAAAATTTGATGTTTGTTAGAAAGATCTATATGTACATATCATAAATCTAATATAAATAATGCATTTTTTATTTTGACAGAATATTTTAGATATTTGTGATGTCATATGTACGAGGTATTAAAAAATATTAAATATCGGTGGTCAGCACATGACAATTTTTTTTACTTTTTTATAGCATTGTCATTAAAGTTTTCTTTGTTATCAAGCTATACGGAAATGTAATGTCACAAATATTACCTACAGAGAAACTCCGTGATTTGGTGTAATCTTGTTTCAGAATTCATTTTTTGGCAACATTAATGACTATTATATGACGATATGTGCCAAAGCACTCTACATTAGACGTTGTCAAAAATGGTGACTTTGGGTGGTTATGTGGAGCATCAAATTTTCAAAAACACTATGTTGAGCGGGATATTACTCCTGTACATTGGGAAAAGAGATGTTAACAATGAAAAAACACAAACATGAGTATGGAAAATGGGTTTATCTCTAGTTGGTTTGAGGTTGACTTGACTGGATACATGTATCCGACAGAAGAGAATAGACCACTAAAATGAAGACGAACTGAAAAGGAAAAAGTAGGACGGTATGGGCCTACGTGAAGTCCGCAATTCAATCAATTAGATTTATGATCAGGATTGTTATTTTGTCTATTAATGGAATAAATATATAAAAATATAACCCGCATGTTGACATAACTGTGTCGCGCGTTGACATAAATAAGTAGCATGCTAACATAATTATCTTGCATGTGAACATACATGTAAATATCTTCAATGTCTACATAATTATCTCGTATGTAAACATAAGTATCTTGCATGTTAACATAACTACCATGCATGTTCACATAGATAACTCGCATGTTCACAAAAAATATCTTGCATGTCTATATAATCATCCCGCATGTTAACATTAAGTAAACCGCATCTTGTCATAATTATGTTTCATCATGCATCCACGATGTCAGATATGGGCTTACGTAAGTGATTTTAACCATAATGAAATCAGATTCTTTTACAAGATTTGTAACTTTCATATCAACATTATTATCTTGCATGTCAACATAATTATCTTACATGTTGACATAATTTTCTTGCATGTAAGGGTCAGAAATAAGCCACCATATCTTCTAGATAAGAAATTTAAATATTTGTTTGGTCCAAAGCAATAAAAAACTCTTTCGGGTCAATTTTTTTTTAAATTACACATTTTTGGTATTGTGTTACTATATATATGAGCTTTAAAATATACGAGGGTTGTTAAAAAGTTTGCGGACACATTGATTTGCGAAAAATCTCTTGTGTACTGTTAAGTGTGACCTACGTCTAATTAAATTCCTATCTTTTGTTTATTGGTATGTAAAAAATCAGGTCTATTTACTAAAACTTTTAAAAAAAAAATTACAACGATTTTTACTATGCGGTCATAGGATTCACGGAGCAATCACTTGACGTTAGTGACGTGAAAACCAGATTTCAGACCGTTAAGATTTTTATGAGTTCTAACTATCTTACATTTCTTTGACTTTTGTCGTTTTTTTTTTTACTTAAGGTAGGATTCTTCTCTGGTTTCTGACTAGATGGAATATTCAAAGTACATTTGTTGATATGTCTTATATACATGTATTTAGATGTAAGAAATTTAAAAGACCATTTTTTCTTTCCTCATCACAATTACACAAATTTGAATAGAAATGGTAAACTGCGTTTGAAAACTACCAGGGACTATATTTTTGGCGGAATGGTGGCGTATGAAAATATCTTCTTTTCTGCCTCTCAAAATTATTATAGAACATATAATTTTTTACACAATCAAAGACTAGACGAAATTTCCAAATGTAAGTTAAATTAATAATAAGGGACTAAAGTTTCAAAATATATCAAATAAATAAGATTTTTTACACATACTAGAACTATGTTGGCTTTTGAATGCTTCAACTCTAGGTACAGATTTGAGCCAAAAATCCGTAAAAAGTGATATTTCTCTCTTCGTAAACGATCAAAACTTTTAGTATTTGTATCATTTTGTACCTTTATGTGACAACTTTACTATATGTGAAAATTAGAAAAAAGTTAAATATAGGAAACATATAAAAATAACTAATAAATCCTAAAAATTTCAGAAAAGTAGAGGAAATTCGGATTAGCAAATATCCATTTTATTTAAATTATCCATGTCAATTTGGTAACATCATCTTATAGGCC